CTTACCCTGGTGGTCGAGACAGGCCATCCCAACACTTGGCGGCACACCAGTATCAGCCTTGGTAGGATAAATCTCCCTAGACTTATCTAATGGCTGTGAACATTTAAAACTAACACGTGTCTCATTAAGTGTCCAGTTTTAGGGTCTTACACAGAATTATACCAAACAACATGAATCAAGCATGCACTTTATTTATTTACACTAAATATCAAAAGTACATCAAATCGGATTGAAACTAAGGGCATACAAAACTGTCTAACACTTATTTGAATATTGTCGAAATCGTTCAGAAATTAGAAAATACTTCCAAGTTTGCCCCTGGCAGGATAAGAAGAGAAAGATTGAGAAATTAGACAAAAAATTCTTCAAGTCATTAGAGACAATGAACTATCCTGAACAGTGTTTGCAAGAAAAAAATAGAATAAAATGTCAATGGACACCCTAGACTTAGTAACCGAGTCTCTTCACCTCAATCAAGTGTCGCAATTCGCGTCAAACGAAAAAGGGAATGCCAAAGGCAATCACCTAACACTTAGTAATCGGGTTTTTTCACCTAAGGCAAGTGTTGAGATTCACGTCAAATGGTGTAATGTAGCAATAAAAATAAGTGTGCGTCTCAAAGTTCAAGGGTAGAAATCCATTGTCAGAAATGGTAAGAAGAATACCTGTCTGATTTTGAAATCTATCTCAAATTTTCTTGACAAACTGCAAATGGAAGAGTATACAAGATTTTTAAGCTAAGTTTCTGTAATATTCAAAGCAAGACAGTTTTACCCCTTAAGCCTAATATTGATCTATGCAAAGTTTGAGAATTTTGGAATCAACATACTTAGCTAATTTTGTTAGGGATGACTTTGCAATGGGAATGATCTCTTTACTTGTTGTAATTTTAAGGCTACATTGCTAAGGGACTAGCAATGGTTAAGTTGGGGGTGTGATAACTCTGTATTTTGATGCCTTAAGGGCATTATTTTAGGAGTATTTTAAGCCTTAAAATAGTCAAAATGTGTCATTTTCCTAATTAAATTTAAAATTGTGACCTCTGAGAACCCCTATGCAAATCCTGGAGAAAATTGGGGAAGTTTCAAGGTTAAAATGCAGTTTTTTGGGAAGTTGGTATGAATTCCATCTGAGAAAGGGGGTCTTTCTGTGAAAAACTGAGCATAGGAGGACGCCTCCTATCTACGAAACCTAAATAGACACCCCTTCTATTGTATTAGCATACTCCCCTTTCTTTAGCAAACCCCAGGGTGCCTCCCCACTCATTGTTTTCACCTCTAACAAACCCTAGCCACCCTAGGATATCAAATCTCCACCCTCCATTCTCTCCTAACCTCTAATCTCAACCATCCAAGCCTTAGCAGCCCCTCATACCTTTAGATATCTCCCCCCTCATACCTTTAGATCTCTCTCTATACAACATCTTAGCCTTACACCTCACTCCTTTAACCTTAACCAATCACCTTAGGGCGTCACATCACACCAACCAATCACATATCTCCATTTTGGGCGCCCAAATCTCAGTCGTACATAGGATCACCTTAGAACAGTCCTAACCCTCCATTCTCAACCCTAGGGCGCCCATATCTCTGCAAAAGCCCAGCTGCCGCCCCTCTCTTTCTCTCTAACCCCAGTTTTGTCCACCATTCTCTATAAAAAGGACCCCAAGGGCCCTCGAGAATGGGTTGGTCAATTCACTCAGTTCACAAGGCTAAGGTTTCTTGAGAAGTTCAAGGGTTGTAGAAGGGAAGGATGCCCAAATCTTGTCAGGAGGGGTTTCTACAAGCAAATCAGCCACTCTGTAACTACCGCCACTAGATTTGATCAGCCATCCTTTTCATTTTCTTTATTTTCTTTTATGTTATTTTTATTTCAGCAATATTTTAGATTTAATTTCTGTTCGTTTATGTGTTTTGCAGATTTGAATTCATCTGGTTTAATGCTAAGGTGTCTCGAGGGGTTCAAGGGATGAACGGAGGGAGAAAGCTTGCATTTCATCTTCCTGGATAGCTACTACCACAAGATCCGAGTTTTGGATCACTTTTATTTGTTTCTTTTGTTGATTTCAGTGGTCCTAAATTTCTGAACATTAATTATTGTCTTGTCTAATTCCGAACATTTAAATTCAGCATTAATAAATTTTATTTCTTATTTGTCTAGAACAAAAAATAATAATTTTCATTCTTGCTCCCCTGTGGGTTCGACCCCATCCTCACCATGTACTATGTTGTTTAAGGTTACGTGAGGATTAGAAAAATTTATAAATTATTAATCTGGTTTTCCATAGTGGTTAATGACACACTTCTAGACACACCACCCCCCCAAAAAAGGCCTTATTAGCTTATCCCAAGTGCATCAAAGAAAATGAACTAGCTTAGCTAAATCTTTAGCTCAGCCCTCCCAAAGCTAACACTAAAACAAATAGGAATCAAACTAGAAAAATTAAACAAAAAGTGTTTTTAAATTTAAAACAATTATTGGTTTGTCCATATGACTCCATATTTTATTAAATTAGTTATAAAAAGTGATGTAGTATTGTGGTCACAATACAAAATGATCTTTTTATCATAAATTGAGAAAATGCTACACAAGATGGGGATGGGGGCCAAAAATTGCAAAAAACAAAGGATAAATTTCTTAAACTACCACTAAGGTTTAGGAAATTGACTAATTATACCCCTGCTGTTTCAATATTATCTTAAAGTACCCCTACTATTTATGACAATTGGCTAAATCTTCCTTACTGTTAGTGGCCGTTAACAAAATGATTAAAAAGACTATTTTGCCCATCACTCTTCTTTAAATTTTCAAATGAAACTTTTTTCTCATAGAGGTTTATCTTCCTTACCATCGGTGTCTTAAAGTACTCATCTGATTCTTCTTCATCTTCCTTAGTCCATCTTTGCCACCCAGGTCCAGAAACTGGATTCCTTGATCTGAGTACCTCATTTGGTTCTGCTATTGGCAGTCACCAAAAACAACATAAGGATGAAGACAAACCTTTAATGCTGATCTTGACTTCATGGATTCTTGGTGTGTTCGGAAGCATGTCGTTAGCCACTTCGGATCACCAGTTTTAATATTTATAAATTTCTTCGATTCTCAAACAACTATATACGTAATTAATGGGTGAGAACAGGTCGAATCCACAAGGAAACAAGGAAAAGATTAATATACACTCAAATCTAGACAAGAGAACACAAGAGGGAAATGCAAAAATATAAAAATTAATTAAATTAAATTGAGAAAAATATAGAATTCGAACGGTATTGAAAGTTAAAAGTGCAGAAACATAAATAAATAAAGGAAACGAAATAAAAATCTGTAATCTGATCAGAGGTACCAGTCTCCAGATATTTCCTTTGAAAGAACAGAAATTAAAACTAAAATAAAGTAAAAGTGGTTGGGATTCGATTCCAGAGGTGGCGGTAGTGGTGTTGGCGAACTACAAGTAGAAACCCCTCCTCTTGCCTGGGTGTCCTCCTCTTCCTCTACCCTTGAACTTCTCAAGATCAGCCTTCCGCCTTACATAGGGGCAAAATCCAATCATTTCTCAAGAGTCATTGGGTCCTTTTTATAGAGAATGGTGGATACAACTGGGATTAGAGAGAAAGAGGGGGTGACAGTTGGGTTTTAGCAAAGATATGGGCACCCTAGGGTTTCTAATGGAGGGTTAGGATGGTTCTAAGGTGATCCTAAGGCTGAGAAGAAAAAGGAGAAGGCACCCAATATTATGTAAGGTTGAGATTTAATGGCTAAAGGCTGAATGGTGAAGATTAGAAGTTAGGTGACTCCTAGGGTTAGAATGCTAAAAAGAGAGTGACCTAGACTAGATGGTGGAGATTAGAAGGAATGAAAGGTGATGATTTAGCAGTTAGGAGCGGCTAGGGTTTGTTAAGAGTGAAAAGAATGGGTTAAAAGGTGCCCTAGGGTTTTCTAAGGCATGAGGAGCATGCTAATACAGTAGGAGGGGCGCCAAATTGGGTTTAGCAGCTAGGAGGCATCCTCCTACTTTTAGTTTTTCACAAAAACACCCCCTCTCTCAGCTGAATTTCACATGAGTTTCCCAAAATCTGCATTTTAGCCATAAAAACTTCCCAGTTTTTCTCAGAATTTGCACAGACGTCCTCAGATGCCACAACATTGCATTTATTGGGAAAATGGCACATCTTGACTATTCTAAGGCTGAAAATACCCTTGAATTGATGCCCTTAAGGCATCAAAATGTAAAGTTATCAATTCTACAATCAAAGGAGTCATTAATGGAATCTAACATGTTTCTTCCTATTCTAAAAACCCAACGATCATGCTGACAGCCTCATCAACTTTGGTGTCTCCTAACGACGATTCCACAAAGAAGATGAGTAGAGCTCTATCAGAGACTAACCTTTGGGAGCTTACTAGGTTGTCTTTGATTTTAGTGGGAATCAAATGGTGGAAAGGGGTGTTGCTGTTGTTGGTCAGCTATTGGACGGAGATAAGACTCGCGAGAGTCCTAGAACTTTATGTTACAGGAGAGTCCCGGATCTGTATGTACCTGTATAGTTAGGAAGTTTTTTTGTTTTGTTTTTCTTTTTGGATTAGGAATTTGTTTTTAGAAAGTTTTGGGAAGCAAGGAACTCCATCGTTTGTATATAAATATCATAAGGTATCAATGGGAAAGACACAACTTTGGCTTCCAAAATTTGTCATGGTATCAGAGCCAGGTTGGGAGAAATTTCAGGAGAAACAGACCATATGCTCTAAGGAGATTCTATATCCTTCAGAGGTGAAGCAAACTCTGGCGCCAGTTCGGGTTTAACCGGAGGAGGACACCCGATGGGAGAAGTTGTAGGATAAATGAACCCAAGATCGTCGGGAGAGCTTATTCCTGCAGAGAAACTGATAGCAAGAATCCCGTCCAATCCATGCGCGGCAATATTAGGCCCAAGATAAATGTTCGGAGACGAGATCCGAACTCCATCAACAGTAACGTCAGAGGAAAAAATTCGCTGCGGTGTTACACGACTGTTGGCAATGGAAAGAATGTAGTCAGGGAGAAGCGTTTCAAGAGAAACACCAGTAGACAAATTGCAAAGATCAAAGATTGTCATACGATAGGGAGCTATATGATATTGAAGTGTCTTGACGTAATTGATGGCCTCTGATGACAAATCGAGTGAAAAGAGACGTTTTTCGGTGGGAGCGAAGAGGGTGATGGAGTCGCCTGCGAGGAGATGGTACCTCCCAATCTAACAGATTTGATGCGCATAAATAGCAGCAGAACCAACACCTTTATTCACAGCGGGTATTGATGATCGGTCACCATGGCTACCAACAACGATAGGAACGATGAGAGCTCGAGTAAGTTTGTTGGACCCTCTGGCGGATGTGACCGAGGTACGACAAAGGCTCATACTGCTCAGTCATCAGCGGGGCATGAGGTGGCTGCTAATGCAGTTGTGACTGATGAAGACAGGACCGGACTGAACGGACTTAATGACGAGCAATGGCAGACTCTTGTAAGCATGCTTAATGCTTACAAAACGAGGACTAATGAAAAACTCTTTGCTAAGAATTACTCCATTGAATGGATTATTGACTCTGGGGCATCACATCACATGATAGGGAATTTAAATGTGCTCGCCGACACCTATGATGTTGCACCTTGTCTTGTTAGCTTACCCAACGGTGCGCACACCGAGGCCGTGAAAGAAGGCACTATTGAACTTGGAAATAATTTTAAATTGATGCATGTATTATATGTCCCAAAGCTCAATTGGAATTTATTGTCAGTAGGTTGGTTATTTCGTGACACAGATTGTATTGTGACGTTTACTAATAAGTTGTGTGTGATACAGGACCACCTCTCGAGGACTCTGATCGGTGTGGGTGAACAGCTTGATGGGGTCTATGTCTTCAAGGGTGTGGCCGGTTCGTGCTTACAAGACAGATGGAATTGGATCATGCGATTTGTGGCATCGGAGATTGGGACACCCTTCTTATCAAACGGTTAGTCTGCTTCTTAATATTAGTAATAATAAGAACAAAACCTGTGATGTTTGTTTAAAGGCAAAGCAAAATAGAGATGTTTTTATTCAAAGCGGCAATAAAACGACCGATTGTTTTGCATTGATTCATCGTGACTTATGGGGTGCTTATAGAGTACCTGCATCTTGCGGTGCTGTATATTTTTTGACAATTGTTGATGATTATTCTCGAGCGGTTTGGATTTATTTGCTGGCTGAGAAAAGTGAAATTGGTCGAACACTCAAAAATTTTTGTGCAATGATTGAACGACAATTTAATAAGATGGTTATGGTGGTGAGAAGTGATAATGAAACAGAGTTTAAATCCTTGAAATCATATTTTAACAAGCAAGGGATTTTATTTCAGACTTCCTGTGTTGGAACATCACAACAAAATGGTCGTGTGGAGAGAAAGCATCGTCATATCTTGAATGTGACCAGAGCACTCAGGTTTCAAGCACATCTTTTGATCAATTTCTGGGGTGAGTGTGTTTTGACCGCAGGATACTTGATTAAGCGGACACCTTCGACCCTTCTTGGTGGTAAAACACCTTACGAGATGCTGTTTGGACAAAGTCCTTATAAACATCTCAAAGTTTTTGGTTGCTTATGTTTTTCGCATACTCGGGACCGTGGCAAATTTGCCGCTAGGAGTAGGAAATGCGTCTTTGTTGGGTATCCTTTTGGGAAAAAGGGATGCAAATTATAAGATCTTGAGTCTGGTGATTACTTCGTCTCATGAGACGTGGTGTTTAGTGAGGCCGAGTTTCCCTCTGCCACTCCGGAACATCAACCCTCAATAACCAGTCCTCCCGTAGCCAAAGAAAATGTTGGGTTGCCTTGGGCCACTCCTCCTAACATGGTATCTAAGTCACTTCATATATAAAAGTTAGGGGGAGTGACACGATCAATGAAGAAGGACATTAGAACACAGGTAATGATGAGGAGGCAGGTCCTCTTGATGAGACAAGGAGCCATACAGATTGCAGAAATAATGAAACTCCAGTTGCTCCTTAGACCACCATGGAGTTATTAGGTCACGAACATCGAGAAAAGCACCCCCCCCCAGCTATTTACAGGACTTTGTCACACACTCTGCTCATCATTTAGACCCCTCCGTTGTTTCTCCCACATCATCTCAGTCCTCAGGTACTCCTTATCCCATAACTCATTATGTGACGTATGATAATTTTTCTGTGAAACATAGACATTTCTTGGCAGCTGTTACTGCAGGCTGAGAATCTACTCGTTTCTCTAAGGCAATGACTGATGCTCGGTGGCACGAGACTATGCGCCAAGAGATACAGGCTTTGGAAGACAATGGGACATAGACCTTGGAAGACCTCCCACCTAGAAAAAAGGCAATCGGGTGTAAATGGGTCTACAAAATCAAGTACAACTCTGATGGATCCATTGAAAGATTTAAAGCACGGTTGGTAGTCCTGGGCAACACTCAAGTTGAAGGTCTTGATTACAACGAGACCTTTGCCCCAATGGCTAAAATGGTCACAGTTCAAACCTTCTTAGCAGTTGTTGCGGCCCAACATTGGGAATTGCATCAGATGGATGTCCACAATGCTTTTCTGCATGGTGATCTCCATGAGGAAGTCTATATGAAACCTCCTCCAGGTTTTTCGGCCTCCAGGACTGGAAAGGTATGCAAACTCCGGAAATCTTTGTATGGTCTACGGCAAGCCCCCCGGAACTGGTTCTCTAAGTTAGGTGCTGCCTTGAAAACTTTTGGGTTTGAATAGTCCTATTCCGATTATTCCTTATTTACATATCGCAAGAATGAGCTTGTCTTGCACATCCTGGTTTATGTTGATGACTCAATCGTTGGTGGGAATAACCTGGAGTTCATACACACATTTAAACAGTATATGAATCGGTGTTTTCACATGAAGGACTTGGGTGTTCTTAAATATTTTTTGGGCATCGAAGTGACTTGCAGATCATCGGGGATATTTCTTTGCCAAAGAAAATATGCACTTGATATTATTACAGAAATTGGCTTATTGGGGTCCAAACCTTCTCCCTTTCCTATTACTCAGAATCATAAACTTGCCCTTGCTGACGGAGCACTCCTGGATGACCCTGAACGATATTGACGTCTTGTGGGCCGGTTGATTTATTTAACCATTACACAGCCGGAGCTCAGTTATTGCATCCATGTCCTGGCTCAATTTATGCAGTGTCCTCGTGTTGATCATTGGGATGTGGCATTACATGTGGTTCGTTATCTGAAAGGATGTCCTAGTCAAGGAATATTTTTGCGCTCTAATAGTGATCTGCAATTGTATGTCTATTGTGATTCCGACTGGGCGAGTTGTCCTCTAACTCGTCGCTCTCTTACTGGGTATTTTGTCATGTTAGGACATTCCTCCATCTCCTGGAAGACTAAGAAACAACATACTATCTCCCATTCCTTTGCTGACCGGTCAATGGCTACTACCAGTTGTGAGTTGAAGTGGCTAAAAGGTCTGCTATCGTCTTTGGGTATATCTCATCCTCAGCCTATATGCTTGTTTTGTGACAATCAAGCTGCTCTGCACATTGCTGCGAACCCTGTTTTCCATGAGTGAACCAAACATATTGAAGTTGATTGTCATTTCATTCGCAATGAGCTCCAAGCTGACACTATTGCACCTGCCTATGTACGTACCGGTGAACAATTTGCCGACATTTTCACCAAGGCTCTCGGACAAAAATAATTTGATTCTTTCCTTCCCAAGTTGAGCATTCGCAATCCTCATGCACCACCTTGAGGGAGAGTATTGGACGGAGATAAGACTCGCGAGAGTCCCAAATCTGTATGTTATAGGAGAGTCTTGGATCTGTATGTTACCTGTATAGTTAGGAAGTTTTTTTGTTTTGTTTTTCTTTTTGGATTAGGAATTTGTTTCTAGAAAGTTTTGGGGAGCAAGGAACTCCATCGTTTGTATATAAATATCATAAGGTATCAATGGGAAAAATACACCTTTGGCTTCCGAAATTTGTCATCGGCCCTACCAAATCTAGAAGGAAAATCAAAGCCATCCAAATTCATATGGTAGGGTTGGATGACACATCGAGATCGAGTCATCATTGCGTGTTAACACCTTTCTAATGGGAACCTTCACTTTTCGATTTCCCAGTAATCTCCATGAGTAATTAATGGATGGGAACATCTCCTGATCTCCTTCAGTTGCTCTTGACAAAATTTGATCACATGTTAACGCTCATACCTAGCTCAGTAGTTTATTGACAAACCATATCACTTGCTTGGATGGGCTCAATGTTCTCCTTGATCGGCAATGGAATACAAGGTCCAAGAAGAACTTCCTTTGCAATGTTGGTGGAAATTTTGCCTTCCGAGGTCGATGAGATACGGTCTTTGGACGAAGGGCTTCTGTTGTAGGTTACTAGCAAGGACCGAAAGCTTCTAGAGGGCTTGGCAAAGGACATAAAGCCAACATTGTGGTGGAAAAAAATGGCAATGGAAGGTACAAGATGGTGCAGGAGGTGGTGGCAAGTGCAAAGGGATATTTTCTCGGGGAGAAATAGTGGGTGTGGGTTGCAACGGTGGGTGGTGGAATAGAGGAGGGTAGACCAAGGAAGAAGAAGAAGGAGAAGAAGAGAAAGAAGAAGGGGAAGGATAGAGAGAGAGAAGAGCGACCTGATGGAGGAAAAACTGATGTTATTGTGAGTTGTAGTGGCGGGTGGAGTAGAGGAGGGCAGATCAAGGAAGGAGGAGAAGAAGAGAAAGAAGAAGGGGAAGAATAGGGAGAGGGAGAGAGAGAGAGAGCAATTCAGTGAGGGGAGATTACAATGGCAGTGAAGAAATTCCGGTAGGGCTTGCTTGACGGAAGACCTTGCTCCAGCATGTGGTTCAATTGACTCGATCTGTTTGTCTTGCTGCAACAGGTGGTTCAATTGACTTAGTCTCAATCTGTTTGTTTGAAGAAAGCAACATCCACTGGGAAATGATGAATAAATCGAGAGAGACTGATCTTTAAAGGGGGAAACAATGTGCAAACACACTAGAGCAGCAACGAATCTCCCTTGTTCTCTTTTTCCTATGTGTTTTAGTTGGACCAAGCGACGGATCTCCCTGTCTAGGTTAAAGGAGAGAAAGAGGGAAAAAGGAGCTAGAGAGAGAAAGAGGGGAGGTCGATGGGTAAAAGAGAGAGAAAGAGGGGGAGGGGAGGTGGAGGGTAAAATGAAAGAGGGGAGAGGAGGTGGAGGGTAAAATTGGGTTTTTAAAAAAATTATATGTCATGTCTTATGCATGACAAGATGTTAATCGCGATTCACATATTTAATATATTTGAAAAACTTTTTGTAAAATTTAGCATGTCTTATGCATGACAAGATGTTAATTTGTTGTTTTTAGCCTCAATTCTCAAGGTATATATATATAATCACTTATAGGAGCTACTGATAGGTTCCTTTAAATAACTTCACTTCTAACCCTATCATTTCTAATATTTTTTCCATTCATCCCTCTTAGCGTATGCCTTTTTTGCTACACTCATTTTGTGGACGTGTTTTTTTGACTGTCCAATACTCTAGACTTAGAATTTTTTTTCATAGAATTTTCCTTTTAATCTACGTGGTATTCACCTATCACATAAAACTATATGCACCCCTCCATTTTTCCCATCTTATTCTAATTCTATAGATAACATCCTCCTCGATCTCTCCCATTGTTATGAAACCAAGGTAGTTATCCCTAGGTCTTTAATTCTTTGTTTTTTTTTTTTTTTTTTGGAAGGCCTAGATAAATGTACCCTGAGATTGCACTCCTGTTATTATTTACCTTGATTGTTATAGTCTATTCATCATTTTAAAACCTCTTATTTCTAAAGTATTCGTCCCATGATGTTTGTTGTTCATCCAAGCAAACAAGCAAATTCATATACACAATACATATAAGGGCCATTGCTTGGTATAATGGTAAGATCTCAGGCGAACAAATGTGCAAAGGCGAGTTTGAGTCTAAGAGTGGTCATTTACCAGACCAACGAATTGACCACCCTAGATGACAATAAGAAAAGGCATGTGATGAGATATCATTAATTTTTATTCAGCATCATAGGCACCAAAATGAGTCTTGACCCTTGAGGTAAGATAATAGAACATACAAGACATATATACACATACAACAAATACACATAGATATCAGTTCTTATTGAAATGAAGAACATTTGGGATAATCAGGAAGAATAAAAGTATAACCAGCATAAAAGCCTCCAATCTTCAAAGCAAGCTCCTCAGTCAGGAGAACCCAGGAGAAGTCTCCTAGCATTGTTGAGAGGAAGCAGTATTAGACCATCTGTTATTGTTTGTCATTCTCCTGAAAATTTCACAGTAATCCATACAACAGAAAATGTTATTTGGATGAGTTGAATCTTTTAAAATTATCAAACAAATATCCAAGAGAAATATGTAGATCAAAAAGCTAAAATTCTTTTTTCTGTTCAACTTTACAGCACAAAGTCATAGAAAGTCATAAAACGTACAAAACCATATAAAATGAGAGCAGACAATTGATAAAAGCACTTTTGAAATGTTAAATAAAAAATAAATACTTTTAATCAATATTCCTCCACTAAAATAGTGCAAAATGGCTAAATAAATAGAACCATTTAAATCAAAATGTTTACAGCTATACTCTTAATTAGTATATAGTCTACATTTAAATCAACAAATTGATTGTTTGAGCTATATAGAAACTTCATTTCCTTGTTCTCAACTTGAAGTCTGAAAAAATTAAAACATAAACTCACTCTACAATCAGATTTCAAAAGATACTTTTGTTCAATTCAACTGAAAATCCCTGAACTTGGAAAGCTTAGAAGCCAGTAATTATGACTGTTTACATAGAAAAAACACTATTTCATCTATATGTCTGAGTACATTGCATCCTTTTGCTACCCTTAAAACCATGTTTTAAGGGAGCATGTGCAAGTTTTGCCAAAAATATATATGCCTGATACCACTGAAGATGTTATATGCTGGTCTTAATGGGTGTTGCATGTATGGTGAGTAACCCAAACCAAAGCATGAGAAAATGTTGAGATAAAAAAATCAGAAAGTTTTATGTATTTCCTTCACCAAATTCAAGATTGGAAAGCCTAACGAAAATTCTCAGTAGTGTTTATCTAAACAAAGAAAACATAAAAAGTATAAACCAGTAGCTAACATTTTTTTTTGGTTTAGTAACAGTAAACTAACAAATGTAAAATGCATCTAAATGACATAAAATACATGCATAATCAAGTTCATTCCACTATTTAGAAATTAGTTTTTCAGCATCTTCTAGCTTTACATAGAAAATAAAACCTATGTAATCAAGTTTGTTCCACTATTTAGAAACTTGACTTTTCATGAATATCATCGTTGATGGATTGTTTATCTTGATATTTTTATCAGTATTATTTATCTTATAATTTCTTGGCAGAGATTCAACTGACCAAACACAAGATGCAGCACAGTTGCTTGAAAAGCACCAGAGAAAGGCGAAGCATATCATGTCTTAGTTGTAATAAAAACATGTAGTCTTTCTTCAGCTACCATGAGAATATTGCCAAGTTAATATACAACAGAAAGAACCTTTCATTTTCAGCATCAACTCAGTAATCACCATTTCTATACCAAATTAACTCAAACTTTTAGTAAATGATAGAAATCTCTGGTGTCTGGACAATATTTCAAAATTCTGCGTATGTTCCTTTATGGACATTCTAGAATAGCCTACTAGACAAGACAAAGTACAGTTGTCTTATATAAGAAGATGAACTATGCCCTGTCTATTTTTAACTGATCATGACTGAATAGAAAACCATACCGAGTGTCTCAAAGAGGGAATGCCAAGAAGTTAAAGCAACTGGGACAAAGCCAGAAACCTCTTAGAGAATCAAAGTTCTGAAGATATATCTATATCTGAAAGAGAAAGCTATCCAACCTGATGATGATGACAAAGTGATAGCTGACGCTCATATGTTCAGTCATCTGATGAGATTAGATTGGGTTGTTATTCTGATGATAGCATGATAACATTATGTTAGAAGAGGGAGTAGGATTGAATAATTTGAGACCAATATTCTCCAAATATCAGAACAACATAATAAATTTGGACGCTTGATCAGGGCAAAAAAATAAAAAATAAATCTCACATCCTGCTTCCAGAAAACAAGTGAATCCGCATGGGAAACACTGAGGTCCTGAAGCAGCAGTCAGCAACATGTTTATCATATCATATGCTCGGTCACAATTAATTTAAGATGTGATATATTAAAAATTTCTACAAAATAAAACAAAGGGATGAACAAAATCACTCACCTAATGTGCTGGATGCACAATGTCTAGTTGAGAGTCAGTAAAGGACCTTATTTTGTGAAAACCTCATTACACATGGTAACACAAGTAGAAGGTTCTCATGCGGAGTTTCTAATTTTGAAATTAAGGCTGAGTTTGGAAAGAGTACAAATGAAAATATGTACATGCAAATACATACAAAATAATGCAAAATATAAGGTTTTGCATTCTACATATTTGCATTTGTACTCCTTCCAAACTGAGCCTAAGTTCAACAGAATGTCAACCATATTAACCGAGTCCTACTGAATACTGATCATATCTAAGGAATACTTAAGCTGTGAGAAATGATAACCTACCTTTTACAATTTTTTTTTAAAGGTAAATGAGAAACTGAATGTAATGTCTACTCTTTATACAACGAGAGGTAGTGGAGTACAACAAGACAATAAGGCAACCCGGAGGAGAATGAAGCCCCCCCTGGACCAAGACTACAAAGAGGTCCTCCAAGATCATTCATGAAAATGGTAAAGCTTAATCAACCACGTATTCTTAGCTTCATGATCTAATGATAATCACATCATCAACTTCCATGGATTATCATCAGGGTTTCACAGAGGTGCAACTCAAAAACAGAAATCAGATCGATGGGCAGCCAAGTGCATGAGGCTCCCACCAACGTGGGGTCTGGGCAATTATTAAAATATTAGACAGATGTAATAAGCACAGGGGAAATTAATGGCCGCAGGGTTCTATATTGGATGATTATTCTTCACATGATTATGTTACAACCCTAATATATCTGCCCTCACTTTTGTATTAAGGATAGAATTGTAGAAGATGATTGCCATTTGTATCTGCATTTGACACAGGTGTATAATAATGAGCTAACCTTTTCAGATCTCAAAACATATTTATTGTGGTTCAAAGATGTGAAGGAAATGTCTGCTGGTTTCTATCTTTTTATCTTTTAAATTTATCCTATTAGCAATAAGAAGAAGAGATATGCATCTTAATTAAACTAAATCAATATTCAAGAGAAAGAAGCAAAGATAAGTCAATATGCAGGGAAACTGAACAGAAAGTACCAAGTACATGCATTTATGTTGGTTTTGTTTTGCTTTAAATTATTAGGGAAAAGCCATATAAGTAGAAAAGTAAACCTGTGAGCAAGGAGTTTAATAGATGACCAATACAATTACAAATATAATAGCAAAAATAATTTTAGATTCAAGTACAAATGGGTCTTCCGCCTTAAACAACAAATTCTCAGATTTTCACACAAGATACCCATTCCAGAATGCCCCCTTTCCCAGATGGAACATAAAACAGATCTTTACACAAAGAATGGCCATATTTCTCTGAAAGAGCCCCGTTCTCTCAGCTTGTCTTATTCCCAGAAAATCATGGAATAAGAAATATTGCAACTACAACAGAATAGACTGAAGACCTGTACCCTCTTTCTTGCATTGACAAGTGAAATGATATCACTTTACGCCCAAAAAAAACGTCTTACAGAAGGAAGATAACAATAACACAAAATGAATTGACAAACATACCCTGTCCACAAAGTTTCTGTCTGCAGTCTCATCCCCTTTGCTACAAGACTGGGGTTCCTCTGGTTTCCTGCAAGAGAAAATGAAGAAATAACAACGAGGATATATAAGAGTAATTTCTATATCAGTGTTTAGCCACTGTAAATTCATCAAGTTGCTTGAGAATTAAAATTTTACAAACTACCTTTCACCTTCAGAACCCAATTTAAGTGGAAATGCTCCCAAACCAGGAGTTCTCCCTTCCAGGTATTCCTGTTTATTGTGTCCCTGCAATAAGATTCTCAAAGCATGAGCTGCCATGTTCTCCCAGGAAGAAATAACTCAAAAAAGGGCATTATATATAAGAAGCAAAACACTTACTCCAGGACTTTCTCCCTTCCACCCAGGAACTGTATCTGAAAGAAGAGTGATATACTGGTCCATTGCCTCCTCTGGACTCATGTTCCCCAGCTGTTGCCAAGCATTCCTTGCACAACGCAACCAGTTCCCTCCATCACTCATATATAGGAGCTTTCAACCCTGTTATTATAGCTAGCGATCAAACTACACCTTGAGTTTTGATTGAAGGTTGTTCCTCGGGTGTTCAATGCATTGCCCTTCTACTGAGTTTTACAGCCCTCACAGAAAGCATACTTGATGACAAAATTCTATCCCCAAATACAACCATTACTGGCTAAGTTGAGGACCATGACTCTCCCCCCCTCTAGAAAGTCTCTCTGGGTTTTGGATGGCCAAATCAATTAAACTAGCCATTGCCATTGACCGGAGATTGGTGAACGGAAAGAATATGAGCACAGTAATTGACATATCACTGAAAAATCTTCTTATCCCAAATTCCCAATTTCACGTAAAAGATGCATAATGAACTAATTGAAGGAAGAAGGGACGAACATGTTCGAATTTGGAAATGTGGTGAAGGATATTTACTTTTCTGATTTACATTGAAGATCAAGATTTCCTCTCATGCCCATTCTCTGGTTTACTTTTATTGATTCCCTCTACGACTGCTTCCTGCCTTATTTGTTCACTATCTTTCTTTTTTACTTTGTTTTTCTTCAAAAAGTCTACGAGAAGGCTCTAGTGGATTGAAGCTTCAGGGTAAATTACAAGTACTTCTCCATATGAGATAGGACATCTACATCTTTAGGTTTTGGTTGGCATTGTACCAAATTACTATGATTTTTTTAGCCATTTCAGTTCAGGACATGATTTTTTTAAACCAATTCAACAGCAGAGTAATAATTTAATTGCCCCTAAAAATTTAAAGGGGTTCAAGTTCCTTTCAATTGCACCAAATCTTTTAAGGGGTTTAGTTAATTTAACAAGTGTATATAGATCAACACAATAAGTATTCAAAACAGAAAGAAAAATGCAGAGGAGACGTTCAGTACCACTTTGCGCGGGCAGAGACCTTTAGTGCCATGGGCTGCGGCTCATGGCAAGGCCCTTCGGTAGCAACCTTGTGAAGCCCATACAACAGCATCTGCACATCACTATCAACGTTCGACAAGCGATCGTTGTTACACGGAGAGCCAACAAATGCCGCTGCGGCACTAAAAAGCTTTTCCACCTCTGTTCTTTCGATCCCTTCCCAATCATCTTCATCACTAAACAAAACCTCCTTGTCATCATTTTGCCTACTTCTCTCTGCTACTTCAGCAGCATTTTCCTGATACAATTCATGCCCAGCAAGCCCAAGCTGTTGGTCCTTGAAAAGAATGTCGTCGTCCTTCGCCAATTCTATGTTATTTTTATGATTCTCTAACTTCCCATGGCTTTCTTCAACCAAGTTGGCTTCCAACTGGTCATCCTCAGTTGGAGCCATTTCCTCCTTAAGTTGTCCCGAATAAAAAGCATGGTTTGTCATCTCCTCCTTATCAGACCTTTCCTCGATAAGCTTGTCTTGTGGTAATCCGCGGACTTCAACTTCTTGTTTTAAAGTTTCCTCCTCTACTCTAAGATGATTATCTTCATAAACCTCAACCTCCCTGGAACTTCCCATCTCGAATTCTTTGCTTCCATGCACCATTTCCATCTTTTCCCGGACCAATTCTCTTTCATGTTGATCAATCTTTACAGTTTCTCCAATAAATTCAACTTTATCTTCGGTTTGCAACCCTGGATTGTTCAGTCGTCCTTCAAAAGTTCGCTCCTCCGTAACTACGCCACCATCAAACTCCTTCCCTGGTCTTAAGACAGACTCACTCTCGTCGGCATCCCCAGCCGAAGCCATTGAAACGAGCTTAGCTAAGAGAAAGGCGAAGATAAGCGAAAGAAAACCGGTCAGGAAGAGTTCCTGAAGAAACTCCATGATTCCTGCACCTCTCGTCTTCCTCTCCGAATTTAGTATAGGAGAGAATGGAAAAGCAGAAGTGTTTGTGACGATGAGGACGATGAATTGTGATGATGTGAGAGAGAGGATTCTGAAGAGCAGAGCAAAGCATATTCCAACTTTACATCTCTTCTTTTCTTTGTACTTGTACTGATGTGGGCGCGGATCGGCCCCACCACGTTGCTGGCAACGTTGGTAAAGCAGGTATTCGAAACTCGAATGGAATGGACTCCTCCAAAACTCCAAGGCGAACTACGCGACAGTTGAGTTTACACTTTACACGGGTTACCTAAGTCATTACAGTTACGCTACCTCCTTTTGGGCAGGGATTACCGACTCACATTTGCTACAACACTGTCGTAGCGCTGCGCTGAAACAATAAATCAAAACCTTTGATTTATTGATGTGACCCCATCTAGGTTAAATGAACTGAAATCTTAATATAATTCTCATCAAAAAATGAACTGAAATCTTAATGGGCCACAGATAGAAATCAAAGGCCTTCATTTTGTGTTGTAACCCTGCGCTACAACTGTCATAGCAAAAGTGAACTCAAATAAAACATTTTAGAACACGATTTTGGTCTGGTCTTTAAGTCTCAAGTCTTATTCTCTGCCCGTGTTTATACATTTTATAATACGATTTTGTCTCTTGCGAGGCAAAACAATGCTAGGCAAATGAATTGTTTCAATTTCTTGTGTCACTTGTCAATTGTCATCGATGCAAATGCACAAAATAATGATGTACTAGCGTTATTTTGTCGCGGATACATAAGAGGAGTTCGGATTTCCTACCTACAAGTCACACCCAGCTCACAGCATTAGCAGCAGGCGTGTATGGGGACAAACAATCACCCCATGAATGAAAACATACAAACAAACAGGGGAAATGACTCCAGGTGGGTGTGACTTGTGTGAGAGGACAATCCTAATATCCTATGAGCAAATCCGGACTCAATAATGGATGGGTTGAGAAGAACTTTGGACGTGTTAGCACAGAGAGTCGCCTGAAGAGCGGCAGTCTCGACTCTGGACCCGATCTCAATCGTTCAGCAGTAAAGGTCCGAATGCGTTTAAGATTGGTAGGATTTCAGTAATGGGTAGGGACCACGTGTACTTACACCATTACCATTTTCTTTTTTTGGGTAAATTACACGGACATCTTTGTATTAAATGACAGAATGTCACAGGTGACTCCTTTGTTGCGCCATCAAGCACCTACAGTGAGCCATCCGAGTGCCAACCGCGTGCCTTCATGGTGTCAACATGTGTGTCATGGGTGGGCTTTGCTTATATTTTGTAAGGGGGACCGCCAATGACGTTATTGTAATTACTTAGTATGCTTTTCCATCATTTTG